TAATATAACCCTTGGTACCTCTGTAAGAAAGACTGCAACATTTATGTCTGGAAAAAATCCATATTTGTATAAACAGGAGGGTATTATTGTGTGTATTAAAGGGTTCACAGCATATTATCCCACAGTCCATCCTGTATTTACTTTGGACATTATTATATCTGGAAAATGGGAAAACTTCCAGATAATTCCTTTACCTTGAAATATCAGCAAACACAAGGGTATTTTGAGATTATCCACTGCTAAAAAATGAACAAGTATCATTCATGGTTGCAAGCCAGAAGAGAATCCCTCTTCAAATAATGCAAAATGGGTTAAATTTAAAGTGTAAGTAGTTCTGAGGACAAGGGTAAAAAGTAGTTCTTAAAGAGACTTTCTTTCCTAGAAGGAAAGTAAATCAGCTCAATGGCCATTCACTCCCATTCAATACAGCCATTCCATGTATTAGTGATGTACGTTACAAACTTGTGGGTTTTTTTTCTACAGAACTAATTATATACTCTAACCATTTGTCCTGGATTTTGAGAAAAAATGGAGACTGGAGCAACATCTCCAAGTTCCTATGCATTTTACTGAAGGAGGTAGATATCTGCATTGTCACCACTGAACTAAGAAGAAGGATGAATTTAATCCCTAGTTTTTTAGCAGAAGAATATTTTTTGGTCTGGATTTCATAAACTTTATGATGGAGGCATGAGACAACTGCACAGATGGCAGGAGAACAAACTGAAGGGTAATAACAATGAGAGTGGAAGAATGGGAAAAGTGAAAAATAAGTGAATGCAAAATACTCTTCTGTTAGAAAGAGCAGTTCTTATCATCAGACAAGCGAAGTTACTTCCAGAACTAAAGTTCAGGCACTGAAAACTGCATGAGTAGCAGGGAAAAGCTGGATCACCTGTCCCAAGGGAGAAAACAAACACATAGCAAAAAAAAGCACACAAGCTGGAAAGCAACATGAGGGACCAGAGAGGGCAAAGCATAACCTTTCTTCCAAGTTAAAATGTTTCCAGACTGTTCTGATATTTAAAAATGTTTAGAAGGAAGATTTCCCAGATCCCAATGCATTTGAAAGGCTAAGCCTCCTGCCAATGTCAAGTTCTCTGGTTGGCTTTTTTCCTCAGTTTATTTTTTTCTGCCTGATTTTGTTTTAATTAGTTAAATTCTTTGCCTCGGATTCCCAGTTAGACCCCTTCCTAACACTGATAGCTGCTCAGAGTGAAGGCAAGAGAAAAATCTTCACACCTCCAGCTATTCTCATGGGCTGAGACATGCAAATTATTTGCAGATACCAGACTTAACAGATGCTGAAGATAGCAGCAGAGAACGTTCTAAGACTGTGAGACCCATGAAAACCTGGAAAAACAGGTCCTATTTTTCTTCATTCAGCAATTGCTACCCAAGCCATCTGACTCCCAAATATAATCAGTACAGGTAAACTAAAGGATTGCAGTGCTGTCCATCAGTTAAAGTATCTTGCTAAAGAGTGAGTCTGGCCTGGGATTTCTGCTAAAAGCTGCATTTTGTTAACCCAGCTTCAAACTGGTATGTGGGCAACTGGAACAGAGAGTCTCCACGCAGTGAGACGCTGCCACATCGGTCCCTTCATTGCACAAGGCATTGGATATCACTGCTCTCCTAGTCTAATGAGGCTCATGCATCCATCTGATATTCTTGCCAGCCTAAACTTTTACCGAGACACATTGGTATATCTGACACTGCTACATCAACAAGGACCAGGGAGTAAACCGAGCACTCTCAACTCCCCCACCTTTTATATTGCTTAGCGATTAGCTCACTCCCAGGCTTTGTTTTTGGGACTACATTGAGTAGCATTCTCCAAGGCATCTAAATATTACAAAGCAAGTCCTGGACAGTGTGTGCCACATACCAGGCTTTATGCCACAGGATTCACCACTAGTGTTTGTTTAAGTAACATTATAGACACCGTCTGCTATTCCCAGCATAGAGCCTTGTTCGTGCAACAAAGAGTGTTCCTGAAAACCTCATGTACTTACAGGGCAAAACTAAAGGTCCTCAATGTTTTTTTAATTAATGAGATTCCATCCTTTTCCAAGACTATTCTGTCCCTGATCCAGCAAGGGCAGGTTTCTCCCAGGATAGAGTATCCTGGGGTGGGATCCAATGCCAACTGGGCCATCAGTGGTATTCCCATGCTGTTTTACTCCCAGGGCTTCTTCCCAGAGTATTGCAACCCCATGGAAAAGGGCCTGGAGCAAGGTCAGGGCTGTGCTGCCTTCTTTAACAGTGCATCATCAGAGGCTTCCTCAGCTGACCCAAAAGGAGAGATGCAAAAGCCTCCAGTTCTGAGCAGGCAACTGTTCAGCCAGATCAGCTGCACTGCACAAATGAACAAAGTATCTTGTAGGGTCCTTCTTTATGAGTTTACATAAGTGAGCAGGGCAAGTCCTCCCAAAATTAAGACTGTCTGTGAAAACGTGTGTCAGATGTGAAATCATTAGTTTGTGCAATTATTACTATTGTTTATGCCACAGCTCCCTGCCTACAAGGCAGCAAGCAACCCTTAAACCCAGAGTAGTATCAAAGCCAAAACACGCAATCAAAGAGAGCCAGAATCCGTAACTTAAGCAATAGTTGCCTTTTCTGCCCGCAAGCAGTTTTTTTCACAGAGTAATACAAAAACAGCAAGCAAGGTCCCAGCCAAAGTCCAGACAACGCTGTAGCAGGTTATCTTGCCAAGGCTGCTTCCCTACGAGGGTCAGCACACAGCAATATCCACTCCCTGGGGCAGCCATACAACTGCAGCTGCAGGGGAGCTGTACCTCAGCACTAAAGCTGAATTTAAAGTTATCTCCAAGGTCTTCTACTAGATTTTAAACACAGCCTGTCATAGACAGAGTTTTACCTAAAGCATGCTTGACTGAAATAGCATAATTGAACTATTTAGGTCAACAATCTCCTACTGCAGATTTGTTGGGAATCTGCTAACAGCCTCTCAGTGGCCCCAATTTCTGTGAACCATCCAACCTACACATCTATAGGCTGCTAAAACTGAAATGCTAGTATGTTCTTGCACCTACAGCAGGCTCCTTTGGAAGACTGGTAAAGGAGTTTGCAAAATCAGTGACAAATTTGCTCTATATTTTTGGCAGTGCTACAGGCTGGTCTCAAGTCTGATCAGTGAGGGGAACTCAGCAGGCTCAGAAGGACAATTTGGAGCCAGGGGGAGGAATGTTCTTGCTGTAGATCTGTTCCAAGTCTGTATTTGACTGCAGGTTAGTTTGCTGATTTTGCTATAGGCTTCAGGATGTATCTCCCACCTAGGTTTTGAAACAATGTCTTCCTGACTTCACCATGGCACAGTAGATAGTGTACTTGCTCCATCAGAACAGAGGGTTTGCAAACTGTTGCTTAACAAATATCCAAGTAAAATCCCTAGGTCCTGATACACACAGCTCATTTAGGCCTGAAATTATCAAAATTTCAAGCTGGAACCAGATGCCAGTTTTGCAACTGAGCTGTAACTGTGTCATCAGTCACTGCCTTTGCGGTTTTGTAAAAAGTCCATCGTATCCAAAGGTAATTGGGGACTAAAGCATCTCTCATATGAGGAAAGGCTGAGGGAGCTGGAACTGTTTAGCCCAGAGAAGAATGAGGGGACCTCATCACTGTAGGTATCTGAAGATGGAATTAGGCTCCTTTTTGTAATGTCAAGCAGTAGGACAGGAGGCAACAGGCAGAAACTGATGCACAGGAATTTCCATCTGAACAAGAGGAAGAACATTACTGTATGGTGACTGCACACTGGAACAGACTGCCCAGAGAAGTTGTGGAGTTTCTCTCACGGGAGATATCCAAAAGCTGCCTGGACACAATCCTGAGTGATGTGTTGTTGTAGGGGACCCTGCTTAAATAGGAAGGTTGGATGACTTCCAGTGGTCCCTTCCAACCTTATCTCTCTGACCTTAATTAATCATCTCCTTCTCCATCTGTCTGTCCGTCCATCCTGGCTGCTGCTGTGGCATCAGGAGCTGCCGCAAGCCCCACCTCATGGAGGGAGCTGTGGGAGGCTTCTCCTTATGCTCATTCCCTGTAGGGGTAACGGGATGCAGAACATGCATCTGGACATGCGGAACACGTGTGTGGGTGTGCACGCACACGCATTTTTTCAATGTTCTGGTATTACTCTCTTCATAATTAAGCAGGTTTTTTCTATGAAGACTTTGCACTTAATACATAGTTCTACATGAGGACCCATGCAAAGGGCCAATCTGTTTCTCAGGAAGTCCATCAAACTCTAGTCTAGCAAACACTCTAATCCCAGGAGCGAAACCTTAAATTCGTGAGGAGGTCACATCACTTAAGACAGGAAATAGTGTTTGACATCAGCCAGGGGCTCAGGAGGAAAAGCAGGATGACATGAAAAACAGGAGGAGTAGGACTGCACGGGTGGAGCGAGCTGACGGAGATGTCGGAGCCCATGCAGGCTATGACAGAACTGCGAGAAAGAAAATACTTGAGCCCTGTGATGACCTTCAATGCTGAGTTCCGTGTTTACTCCTTGCCTACACACGGAAACCTCCTCCCTGCACGGTGAGAACCGGCCAACTCGTGCGGGCCACTCTGGCAACAGACATCCCGAAATCGGTACGGCTGCGATGCTGACCTGTTCTCGCAGAAGCCTATCGAAACATACCTAAATGCCTGTGCCGCGGGGGGGCGTGACGGGACACGGGGGACACGAGGGGGACACGGGGGACACGAAGGGTCGCGCGGTGCCCGCGGGAGGCCTCGCGCCACCCCGCCCCACGCCTCCCCGCGGCTCGCGCCGCCCCCGCCCCGGCCGCTCCCCGGCGGCCGCCCATTGGCTGCGGGCCTCACGCGAGCGGCGCGAGGGAGGGTGTGCGGGGAGAGCGGCCGTGCCCGCGAGTAACCCCGGCGCGCGCAGCGCCCCGCGCGACCTCTTGCCCGGCCCCGGCGGTGACGCGGCGGCCGCGCGCGCCCCGCGCCCCTGCCCCGCGCTCCGCTCCGCGCGCGCGCTGCAAAGATGGCGGCGCTGAGCAAGTCCATCCCCCACAGCTGCTACGAGATCGGGCACACCTGGCACCCGCGGTGCTCCTCGGCCGTGCTGCACGTCACACAGAGCGCCCTGGCCGAGTCCCTCCGCATCTACGGCACCCTCTACCTGGTGGGTCCGGGCCTGTATGGGGGGCGGCCCGGCCTAGGGCGGGGACTGGCCTGGGGGGACAAGGGCAGGAGGGGTGGCAGAGGAGGGGGAGTCTGGCCTTGGTTTTGGGTGGAAGGTCGTCAGGGGTACCGGGGCAGGGGGGAGCCTGGCCTGGGGTGGAAGCGGGAGATATAGGGGACATGGTGAGAGCCTGGCCTGAGGCGAGCGGGAAGGGCAGTGGAGGTATTTGGGAAGGGCACAAGCAGTGCCCGGGCGAGGGGAGTCTGGCCTCAGGTGGGTGGGGAGAGCTTGTGTTAGGAGGCAACGGGCAGAGCAGAAGTCAAGGGGCAGCCTGACCTTGGGGTGAGGGGGGAGAAGAGCAAAAAGGGTGCACTGGGGGCAGGAGGAGGTCTGGTGCTGGGGAGCAGAGGGATGGCAGTGGGGGCAGCTTGTTTTGAGGGCTGGAGGGTTGTCTGGGGTGGAGAACCTGAAGTTTGACAGGGGAAGAGCATGACAGGGAGTGTGTTGAATCTGGGCCTACCAGGGCAGAATAAGGGCATAGGGGGTGGTGGGGTCTGGAGGCATAACATGCTGTGAGAATGGTGAAGCTGGTGGGGTGGGAGGGCATAGGCACAGCCTGAACATCATATTTTTGCCCTCTGTTTCATATGATACTTAGATAAAAAGACTTAATGTTTGCCTGGGAGGCTGGCATTGTATCTTTGGCAGTAGCAAGTGTAATGCACGTGTGTCTTGCTGTTGGAGACACTTTGGTAATCAGTGCCTTAGGATCAAGGAGATTCCATTGCATAATGAAGCAAGACTGAAAAAATACATCAAGGCTGAAGGAGTCTAGGTACTCAGAGAGTGTCCTACAGGTGAGGTATCTCAGCTTGAGCGTGCAGTTAGACTTGGTTATATCACTTCAGTTGCAGCTGGCACACTTCCAGCAAATTAGGGTGTAGGTAGAGGAGCTGAAATCTGTTTGCATCCATCTGTGTAAACATACTCTGAAAGCCAATCTAAGCTGGAATCGCTGCAGGTGAGCACTTCAGTCTGTCCTCACCTCTGTGCTTCTCCTGTAGTGGCACTTGGGGGATTGAGTGGTGAGCTAGCTACTGAGCTGCCCCCAAACTATCACTGACAGAAAGAAAACACAAGTCATTGAATTTGCACTTTCAACTCTGTACCAGGGCTGGTGCAACAAAATTATCAAGCTATGTAATAAAGAGAAGGGAAGGAGTGGGGCTGCAGCAGTCCTGACATAATTCAGTTAAGCTCCCATTGAAGTGCTCTTTGAGTAAAAATTGTGACAATGTCCATTAGTACGATAAAAAAAGAGAGTAATTGGTAGCAGTGTGAACCTAAGTTGTCGTCGTGTCTGACAGTGAACATTTTCACTCTGAACTGACACAAACACAAGTGGCAGCTGTTTGTGTGAGCATACAATGAGCTGGATCAGGAAACTAATATAAAGAACACTCCATCTCCTCCTCTCCCTTTCTCCAGTATTATTTTCTGATCCACTTTGCTCTATGGGAGCATAAATACTTGTACCAGCAGAGAATGGGTCTGAAATAAGCCACAAGAGGTGTAGTGGTGATCTCTCAGGCTAAAGATAAAGCAGCTTAAACAATTCCATAATTAAATCAAAGTTCCCCAGCAGCCAAACCTGGTCAAGAGATTCTGCTCATAACTCTGTTGCAGTTGACTCAGTTATGCAGTCATGGGTTAGGGGGAAAGCTCCCACTTTTTATTTCTCTGAAAAGAAAAACAAACCTAAAAATCCAGAATGTTTTCCTCATATGTTTTGCACTGTGACCCCATAAACAGTTATACCTTGTCACAAACCCAGAATGGGGTGAGAACCTTCTCAGCCAATGTCCTGCTGTACTGTAAAACCTCTGCATCAGTTTTTACACTGCTGCCAGTTTTTAATTTCTCCTAGGTTCTTGTTGACAGTGTTTAACTTGATTAAAAGCTGAGTTGCTCTGAAATCTTGCTGCTGTCTAATGAGAGAGGAAGCGCTTGCCAGCCTTTGCTCCCGGAGACATAACTGTACTTCTTCCTTTGTGTATCCTGGACCTCATCTCTCCATGTTCGATTCATTCGCTGACCCGGAAGAGGCTACTACCCTGCTTTTAGCTGGGGTGATTTTCAGCCAGATTAATGAATTGAACTGATTTATTAAGCAGAATTTGAGGAGCACCAGAGCCAGTGTAAGTTAAAGAGCGAAAGTAAGTTAAAGTGCAGTGGGGACTGCAGAGGAGGAAGCAGAGGCTTTGCACATTAAGTAGCTTGGCAGGGAAAGGACAGTCCTGAATTAAGAGAATCATCACAAAATTCATTCTTTGCTGGACTTACAGCTGTGCTTGAAAACCTTTTATTTGTAAATGAAATATCACACTTAGACAACACAAACAATCAGACCTTTTCTGAGGTTCACGTAAGGGGATGGACTTAAGTTATTTTATCTTAAGAGTTATATCAGTGCATGTTCAGAATGTAGTGCTTAGTCCCAGTCCTTTGTAGAGCTCAGCAACAAAAAGATGCACTTCATTTTTCTACGTCAAGCCTGTAAAATGGCTTCTGATTGGTCCTCCTGTTGCCACAGGCTACTAAGTAAGGAAGGGAGATGAAAGAGTTTCCTTTCACAAAAGCCTGTGTAGAAATGAATGAGAACAAATAGATGAGAATAAATTGTCAGAGGTTGTTCTGTGAGAGAACATGGTTAGGGACAGTTACAATCCAGAGTCCAAACTCAAACCAGATATGCTCAAAGTCTCTTAAGTGTTTTGTTGCTCTTCAGTGGGGACTGATGGAGCCAAATTAAGTAGTGCTAGTATTTGATACGTGAAATACTAGCTATCACTGAGTGGTTTTATAGAATCTTTGCTTATAAGTAGTTCTGTACTGTTTGTTGGGTTTTTTCCCCTCTTTTTAGTAACTGTGCTTGAGTATTTTTTTTTTTTAAGTTGGGAAAAGTATAGCCTTGAGTCCTATTTTCACTGTCTTTATTTTTACTCCAGTATGAATTGATTGCTTTAGCAAAAACAGGTTTACATCTAAATTGAATTACGAATCCCCTTACGAAGTGGCTGACAAGAAGGCCTATTTTGTAATTAAGACTGCTTGTGTTTCACAACCCAAGTGTCCCAATATGCAAGCCTTCTGAGACCCACTTAAGAGCAACAGTTAAAGTGGCTTAACATTTATACCTCCAAAAGAAACCCCAAATTTCCATAAACCTTGTAATTACACTTTTTAAAAACTATCTGCCTTGATATCTTCAAACTTCAGTGAAGAAGTTCTTTGTCAGAGTTTGCTGTATTTCGTTCCATTTATGCTGCTTTTTTAGATTAGTGAAAGCTGCACAAAATGAGAAGCTGTCACCTTGTTTTTTTTAAAATTGAAGAATTCAGATTTCTAGGAATTCACAGAGATGAGGAGAAGAGAATGATTGGACAGGGAAATTGTGTGAATTTTGGGAAAGGCTGGAAATACTGGCTTTCAGTTGTCTCTGCTTCTGTTTCCCGAGATTTCTGTTGATTTCATATGGGAAATCTGCCATTTATCACACGCATTAAAGTAAAGTCCACCGTTTCCTGGGTGTTTTTGTGTTTTAGACACTTCTTTGATGATAGTTTTGCAGTAGATAGGTGTGCTTACTTGTTTTTATGAAGTCTTTTTAGGGTATCAGAGATAATCTGATCAGGTGGTAACATTTTCTCCTAATTAAATAAGGTAAAAATCAATTGTTTACTACTTTGCTGTTGAGGTCATTCTTCTAACTTTTTGCCTGCAGGATGGCAAGAGTAATTTGTGCCATTCACCTTTTCTTTCACTTACTCTGATTATGTATTCTCCTCACCTAATTTAAGACAGTGCCTCCCTACCTCTCCAACTTAACTTCTGTTCTTCCCCTTTTCCTTTCAAACACAGGTCTTCCTCTCCAGCACCAGCCCCTTCCCATCCTACACCTACTGCCTTTCCTTCACCTTGGCTGCTAAAGGGCACAGCCAGGGGCAGGCTTGAGCACTGACCATTTTGTGGTTCAAGCTGACTCTTGGCTTGCTCCTGGCTCTGACTCCAGAGGTGTCTCTCCCAGACAGATCTGCTGGCATAGAGAGGAGCAGCAGGCCCAGCTCTGTGTGGGTGCCAGTGGGTCTGTTTCATATGTCCTCGGGACTGAGGGTGGTTCAGCCAACTCCTTAGGAGAACAGATGTGACCAGAGTCTGCTGCTCCAGTACAGTTTTTAATGATCCTTGGGGCTTGCTCTGTTTTAGTATTTCTTCATACTTGCACCATATCTGCTTCTTGCTGTGCTTAAAAGTAAACCTTCAGGTTCTTAGATGCCAATTTTTTTTTTCTCTTTCTGTGTCAAAAGGTTTTTTTCCCTCTTAGGATTGCAGCGCTTTTGTCTTCCTAGGCCCTGTTTTACCCCTCAGTATCTGTATTCCTTATCTTAATCTGCATTATTTATTTTGTAAACTCCTTAGGAATAGGACAGCGTTGTATATCACACTGTCAGAGACCCAAGTGCTGTCAGCAATGGACAATATCCTGTACAGTATCAGAGGGAAGGACATTGGTATGAGTACAGCATGGGCCGGGGTGCTGCAGTGCAAGGTGCACGTGGCAGCTGGCGAGTCCCTTCACAGGCAGATCACTAACTGACTGCAGGTAATAACAAGAACGACTCTAATTATTGCACTAATGAATTATTTTCAAAACTGTTGTATGGAAGACAGAATCACCAGCCAGAGGTTGAAGTGAGGCAGAGTGAAGTGTGAGTCTCATATCACTTTCCTGGCCATGTGCACATTGCTGTAGGATTGGGCCAGAGATTGCCCCCAAGGATGGACAGTGCACGCTGGCCATGCTGCTGCTGCTTCAGGCATGCTTCGTGTGCAATTTCTCTTATGGAGAGCTGTCTGAACTGGTCCTGAGCAAAGCTGGGAGTCAGCTCACACTAAAATGGATCCTGTCTTATCTGCCAGTGTAGACACAGTTGTCACGT